TGGGCTAGAGGAGACTGCCCATGTTCTAGCGAGCTTTCTAGGGAAGCACTCTACCACTTGAGCCGTGCCTCCCTCCAGCAAGCCAGCCTCCTGCTGGAACAGCAGCTTCCGTAGCCTTTTGTGTCCCCCAGGGAGTGCGTTCCCTTCACCATCGCTGCTCTTCCCTAGGTGCTGGACATCCCGAGAGTGCTGGGTATGTTGAGACAGCAGAGGATGATGCTGGTGCAGACCCTCTGCCAGTACACGTTCGTGTACAGAGCTCTCATTCAGTTCCTGAAAAGCTCCAGGCTCATCTAAGCTCCCACACTGCCCAGCCATCACACTTGCTCCTCAACGCTTGAGCCATGTGAAGATGCATCTGGAAAGGCCATTATGAATAGCTACGCACTGAAGGCAATATGCAAAGCACAAGGCTGAAGAAGGGGATTCGGGACCTCAGAACTGTGCTGGAGGACAAACAAGGACGTGACTTGGACAGGACATGACTGTCCTGCCCTGGTCTGTCTGATTTGCAGTACTTGCACACATTTTGGAGATTGTATTTTCTAGACAATTCTCTGTTTTACTGAAGCTACGCTGGGTTATTCTGGCAAATCCTAATGGCTCATAGATTTCCATCTTAAGCTAGTTTTTGATAATGGAGTTTTATGACTAAAATATTTAGGGGTTTTTCTCAGCTAGAAACTGAACATTCTGTGGGGATGATCCACAGATTGAGTGGTCCTTACATAACTTTGTATTTAAAACCATGTTGTTATCTTTTGTTATGTAAAAAGAAAAAACAAAACAAAAAACCCTTGGGTACTTCATGGTCTGTTTACCGAGCCCAGAACTCTAATGAGAAGCTAAAAGTGTTATTTTGAAGTATGGAAAGCATTTTTATATTCAGAAAATTTTTTATCCTAAAAATTCTATATATTTGTACCTTCTGTATTTTCCAAACAAGAACTCAACTTGCTACAATACTGAAACCAGTCAATTCACACAGAAGAAACAAGAATGAAGGCACGTTAAAATATAGGAGAATCAGATTCACTATTTTTTTTTCAGAATTATTCATAAATCTAAATGAGTTTGACCTTTTGGGGGTTGGAAAAATGAAGTGTAAAACAATGACATAGGATGGTTTTAAGCACTTTTGAAAAACAACCATAATCTGAGTTTTTATATATGCATTGCTTTATATTTAAGACAGTAATGATGGACATTGTTTTATAAGCGTTTCAAAGAGAAGGATTAGAGTATGTAGGATGACAAGGAAGAGTAAGTGGTCTGTGATGGTAAGTGCTGGACATCTTAGTCTTCACAAAAGCTGCAGTATTACCTTACTCAGACTTAGCCTAGTTAGGAGAGTTGGGGCTTGGGAGTCTGAGGGTTGACCCCAGAGAATTTACCGCCTCTCACTGTCTAGTTACTCTCAGTGGCTTATTGTTTCCGTAGAATCGTTCCACCAAAATCTGTAGTCTCTCCCTCTCCCTCTCTCTCTCCACTTCTATTCCTCTCCCCTCCCCTCCCTCTCTTTCTCTTCCAAATTCAGGTTCATATTATCAAAGAAACTTTGAAGAAGCCAGGTACTGGTGGCTCATGCCTGTAATCCTCGCTACTCAGGGACCTGAGGTCTGAGGATTGCAGTTCAAAGCCAGCCCCAGCAAAAATGTCCAGGAAACTCATTTCCAAATTAACAAGCAAAAAGCCAGAAGTGGAGGTGTGGCTAAGTTGTAGAGCAGTAGACCTGAGCAAAAAAGCTGAGAGCACAAGACCTCACTCAAGTTGTAGTACTGGTGCGCACGCATGCGTGCACACACACACGCACACACACACAGCCTTTAAGAAGCTGTATTTTTTTTCTAATTGAAAGAAGAGAATGATTTATGATAGTTGGAACTCTTCTCCAAAACACAGTTGAAATTTGTGAGGGTACCAGGAAATGCTGTGGTTTTCAAGAGGTACTTACACTTTAGCTCCCTTCTTAATCTCCTAACTTTACTCCCAGGATCAGTTTTAGGTACTGGATCCCCTCCCTCCATCTTGTTTGGGTCCATCCCACTGGGCAGAGCCATCTGGTGTCTTGCCTTGTCCAGTTATATTGAGCCGGTGAGAATGAAGTAGTACATTCATATTAAAAGCCATCTCCTTTTCCCTTCCGAGGCTGTTTGCTCACAATAGAGAGCTTCCAGAATGTCCAACCTGTAGTTATTTGGAGCAATTACCATGTTCTAGGCATTGTTCTGGTTCCCCTATCAATTCTAAAGCGGCTGAGCTCACTACTCTGAGCACTAGAAAAGCCGTCCTCCATGAGACAGCACTGCCGTCTGCAGTGTAAGCCAGCCTAACCGACTTACCAGAAACCAGCCGCCCGAGGGGAAAGCTCCAGAGATACCGAGGAAAGTAAACATTGAAAGTACACACACTTCTCAGGAACAAGAGAGCAATTTTAAATCTAAAACTGTCCTAAAAACTGTTTTAATAATAATAATAATAATAATAATAATAATAGACAAGTGAGACAGCTCCCCAGAAAAATGGAGTCAGAAGTACTTCCCACGTACAAACCACCGGCAGGAATTTGTCTGGTTTTATTTTTCCAATGGTACGATTAAGAAATGCTTTTCTATTGGGCTTAAACATTTTGAAGTGTCCTGTTGACAAGAACATATTGTAAAATGAAAGTCTAAATAAAGAGTAATATATGACATACTTGTATTCCTGTTGTAATAAATCTGTCACTCTTAAAAGCCTATCACTCTGAAGAGCCAAGTAATTAAAAAATTTTAACCCAAGTTGGTATGAAAAAAATTCTAAATACAAGTAAATGTATGTTCTTGGACTTTGAAATTTTATGGTTTACCATGTTAGGATGTTACTCTCTGCCAGATCCACAAGGCTTCATGTATCTTAGTGTCTTTTAGTTCCATATTAATTTCGTACCAAAATGTACACTGCTGCAAGAAATAGACTATATAAACCAGTGCTTCCACTGATCAGGCAGGAGTGCCTGCCGTCATGAAGGACATTGGGTGGAATTTTCTAGATGGTTCCAGCATAGTAAGTTCTCATTTTATAATATTGGAATTCTAATTGCTCTTTTTATTTTCTTCTAGAACATCTATTGTAAAGCACTCAGAAAGCCCTAGAATTTAGTATTAAAACATTTCGACAGGATCAGAAAAGAAACTGGACCTGTGATTCCTTAGAAACTTCCAGAAAGAAATGTCTAGCCAGAAACACAGAGGAGGGAGGAGAGTATAGCAATGTCTGATGAACTGATAACTGATGAGTGTGACACAGCCAGCTTCATTTCAGACAGGTTGATATGCTAGTGTTCACAAAGTAAATATATATGTATTATATAAATATATATTATATATAATACCTTTTTTTTGGCTGGTCCTAGAGCTTGAACTCAGGGCCTGGCCACTGTCCCTGAGCCATAGCTCGACTTAGGTTTTTTCTGATTAGTTTATTAGAGATAAGTCCTCAGATCTCAGCGTCCTGAGTAGCTAGGATTACAGATGAGTGAGCCACCAGCACCCGGCATAAAATATTATTTATGATATGTATTATACTATTTTGGTGATGGAGATTGAAGTAGATGTATTTAAAAGATGATATACATATGTGTACACACAAATTATATAAATATAATAGAAATTCTTTGGATATTTAGGAGAATTTGCTTCCAGCAAGGTTTTATACAAAGCAAAAAAAAGTGATGACAGTTCAAAGGCTAGCCTAGACAAGAAAGCTTGGGAGACTCCTTTTACAACCAGTAGCTTCCCTAGCTCCACGGAGACTGATATTGGAACTGTTTCCTTTTGGAAACAGTGGTTTAGCCAAAAGTTGGAGACCATTTTTTGTTGTTGTTTTTAGTTGGTCGTGGAGCTTGAACTCTGGGCCCGGGCGCTGTCCCTGAGCTCTTCGGCTCAAGGCGAGCACTCTACCACTTGAGCCATAGCACCATTTCCAGTTTCCTAGTGGTTTATTGGAGAGAAGAGTCTCACGGACTTTCCTGCCCAGGTTGACTTTGAACCGTGATCCTCAGATCTCAGCCTCCTGTGTAGCTAGGATTACAGGCGTGAGCCACCGGCGCCCAGCTGAGGTCACTGGTTTTAAGACTGGGATAATACTCTTTATCCTCCCGGGTAGCTTGGAATGAAAGTATACATGACAGGTATTTAATATTCAATCATACTATTATAAATAGTTGAAAGCACATTATCAGAGGTGTCTATCCTGAGACTTAATGGTGAGGATTTTCCTCATGATGTAAAGCATAAGGGGAAGGTAGCAGACACGTCTGATAAAGTGTTGGGACTCACAAGAGATGACGATATTTCAGATGCTGAGAAGTGCCCCAGCTTACTCATAATGAAAAAGTTCCTTGGGCTTTTAATATTGAGGAAAAGTGAGAAAGTCAAAGACACTGTAGAAAGGTGTTCTACTTCAAAACCTGTTACGACCACAAGCTATTTCCCATTGCCTGAGAAGTCTATGTCTGCGTAAAATATGCTCCTGGATTACAGAACTATCCACCTTTGGACATCCACTCCCTGAATAGTATCCTCACAACTCTTAAGTGCGGGAGAATCCTGTGACCTTACTTGAAACCAAAAACAAATGGCAAAGGTGATAGGAATATACTGCTGAAAGTAAATTATGTGAGATTCCATCTTAATGGCAGTCTTCTTTGCTTGTCCAGAGAGGCTAATGTAAGTCTAGAAAAGGCAATAGCCGTGTGCTTGAGGGCCTAGTGACAGGAAACTGAAGGCAGTCTGGCTACCATCAAGCAGTAAAATTAAGCTGTGAGATCTGTAGCTGCAAGAAGAATTCTGCCAATAACTAAAGAGACTGGAAGCAGATGCTGCTCCCTCTGCAAGTTACTGGATGAGATCACATCTGGAATGCTGCCTTGAGTGTAGTCTTAGGAGATGCAGAGCAAAGGACTTTACCTACATTGCTTAGATTCTTTAGACAGTAATAAGTGTGTTGTATAAATCCACTAAATTTATAGCCATTTATTAATTAGCATTGAAAACTATACAGAAATCTTAACATATAAGAGGAAAACAAAGAAAATATATTGAGTTACTGGCCATCTGGGGTATTTATTAATGATGATCAAATATCTAAAGCGCAGTCTTCAATGCTCATTTCCATGATTTGATGAGTTGGTAATTCCTTGTCATGATTATTGTCACCTTTGATGCCAGAGACCTGACCAGACGGGGACAGTAATGTGCTACGAGAATATAATTCACTCGAATTCTCAGCCTTTTCAGTGTCATTGTCACCTTCAATGACATGTACAGAGGTTTGGTGGTCTATTAAATGGTCTGAAATTCCTGGATGGTTTTCACCCCAAGTTGCTGGTCCAAGATTGCTTTCGTCACTCACCTGTTGAACTGTGACATTTTCTGAATATTTTGGCTTATAGGGGGGCATGATAAATTCACCAGGTGAGGAGAACATCTCATTCTCGTTCTTTGGTGCAGACAGTAACAGATCCAAAGCCTTTTGGTATTGTCGATATTCCTGTTGAAATGCTATATCAGTTTCATGTTTCAATTCATTTTGTTTTGAATTCATAGCCTTTGAAAGGTCAAGTACATTCAATCTGTCAACTTCATTTAGCTTGTCTGAATTTTCCTCGCACAGGCAGCCCAAGTCTATCTTCAGGCCTTGCAGCAGGTGGCGCATTTTCCCCTAGGATTAAGAAAGTAAGACTACTTTTATTAAGATAATGGAATTTAATGACTTTTGTCTGCAGACTATCTCAGGAGGATTAGTAGTTTTCATTCTCCTGCTGCTTTCATATCGCCCACAATGATAGTAGTCTTGAGTACAAAAACTCAGGTACAGCACTTAGGACTTGAGCTCAAGCCACAGGACCTTCACACTCACAAACCACCCCACCAAACAACAAATCTACAACAAAAAAACTTTAAAATTTTTAAAGGTTTTTCTAATGAGGCTCTAAGGGAAGACAAACCTCTTCCAAATGGTGTTTATTTTCTTTTATGTGTCGCTCAAATAGGCGTTCTAAAAACCTACAAATGATAAACAAAAATGTTAATGTTTTAAAACTTTTAATGTCTTACAATGAAAGCTAGGGCTGGGCACTGGTGGCTCCTGTCTGTAATTCTAGTTACTTAGGAGGTTAAGATACGAGGATCTAGTCTAGGAAGGAGACTGGAAAGTCTGGAGACTCTTACCTCTAATTAATCACCAAAAAGCTGGAAATGGAGTTGTGGTTCAAATGGTAGAGTGCTAGCTCTGAGCAAAGAAGCTCAGGGTCAGCACCCAAGGCCCTGAGTTCAAACCCCAGTACTGGCATGTGAACACATGCATGTACACACAGATATATACACATACACATATTCACAAATCCTTCAGTGAATAATCTCATAATTCTAAGAGAAAAATATAACATTTTAAGTATAAATACATATTTTGTGGCTAAAACACCATTAAAATTTGCCATCTTTGCCATTTTAATTAGAAAATTTCAGTTATTTTTAAACTTGATTGTCAAACCTTTTTTGTTAGAAACCATCTCACTATGTAGCCAATACTGACTTTAAACTCATATTCTTCCTGCCTCTGCCTCCAAGTTCTGGGATTACAGTTGTGTACCACAATGTTCAGTTTTCAACCATTTTTTCCATTTCCTGGAATTCATTTTGATAAATACTATTTTATATGACCAGAGGCACAGAGGCATTGCACACTTCTGTTCCTCCCTAAGAATGTTCTCCTTGGGGCTGGGAAGGTGGCTCAGTGGTAGAACGCTAGCCTTGTATGCCTGAGGCCCTGGGTTTGATTCCTCAGCACCACATAAGCAGTAAAGGCCGGAAGTGGCGCTGTGGCTCAAGTGGTAGAGCGCTAGTCTTGAGCTGAAGAGCTGAGGGACAGCGCCCAGGCCCAGAGTTCAGGCCCCACGACTGGACCCCCCCCCCCCCAAAAAAAAGATGATTTGCAAATTCAACCTTTTATTTATTTTTATTTTTAGCCAGTCCTGGGGCTTGAACTGAGGGCCTAGACTCCTGAGCCTCTCTGTGTTCAAGGCTTGAGCCATAAAGCCACTTGAAGCTTTTTCTGAATAGATTTTTGGAGATAAGACTCACTGACTTTTCTGCCTGGGCTGGCATCAAACTGAGATCCTCAGATCTCAGCCTCCTGAGTAGCTAGGATTCTATAATCCTAGCGTAAGTCATGGGTTCCTAGCTCAACCATTTTTAAAAGTACAGTTCAATACTGTTAAGTATATTCACATTGTTGAAAAACATCTTGAAAGCTTTTTCATCTTACCAATATGAAACTATTATGTAAACTTTTTTTTTGTTGTTGGTTGTGGGGCTTGAACTAGGCCTGGGCACTGTCCCTCAGCTCTTTAGCTCAAGGCTAGTGCTCTAGCCACAGACCACTTCTGGTTTTCTGAGTGTTTTATTGGAGATAAGTCTCACAGCTTTTCCTGCCCCAGCTGCCTTTGAAACAGGATCCTCAGATCTGAACCTCCTGAGTAGGCAGGATTACCTGCATGAGCCACCAGAGCCTAGCATATATGTAAACTTTAAAATTCAACTTTTATAAAACTTAGATCTTTTGGGATAGCTGTTTACACCAATGGTGAAGTATCTGCCTTAAATTTTAAATACTTGATGTAGAGATAGAAATACCTCACTACAAATGTCTGCACTTGCTTGCTATTGCAACTGAAAAAACATGAGAATCCACAGGGGTCCTGTGCTACACCACATGAAGTAGGGCCTTATGCCCAGCAAACTTTAGACCCAGAAATGTTTACGCTGGATTCAGCACAGCTTCCTTAAGTATTTAGTAGGGATATGAGGGTGGCTCAAGAGCCTCCTTTGCAAGGCAAGTCCAAGACCTTGAGTTCAAATCCCAGGACAAAAAGATAGACAACATCTGATCTGATCAGGCAAGATTTCCATTTCACTTTTTTTGCAAGCCTAGCTTTAGATTTGTCTTTATTTTACCAGATCCCATAGTAGCAACAGAACAACAATGCTTTTCATTTCCACAGTGGTGGCACATGGTGAAATGGAGTTTGGCCCCAGGAAGCAAAAATCTCAATGTATTTTACTCATCTGTTATAGAGAGATATAGTATTAAAAAATTTAGTGTCAATTTATTGTATTGAGGGGTTACAGTTACATAAGTAAGGTATTGATTACATTCTTTGTCTAACTTGAGATACAGTATTTAAATAAAATAATTTTTCGTCTCCATAAGTCTCCCAAACTGTGAACTTGCCCTGAAGTATGAATTAAAGAATCTTTATAACTTGGTATCAACTACAAGATGATCTTAAAAAATACTTTTTCTTAATATGTAGAAGTAACTTAAAAAGTTAACACTATATGAAAAATATTTAATTGTACATGTCAACTGTCACAATACAAGTAAAAAACTAACCTGTTGGAAAATACACCAATTCTCAAAATTTCATCTGTTACATCTTCAATGAAACTTAGATACAAAAGCTCTTCTTCACTGCAAAGGCAAGGAAACACAGCATTATACTCTGCACACGTACACCAAAAAACTGAAGGAAACAAGTACTTCATCGGATTTACCTGTCTCTACTATTACATTCTATTATTTTTATTACTATTATTATTATTAAGAGGGTTATGTCAGACTTCTCAAACTATGTAAAGATATTTACTAAAAAAGTATCATCTAATGGGGTAAAACTTAATAGCTTTCTACAACATTTGTAGCAATGAAAAAAATCATCAGAGCCAGGTGCTGGTGGCTCACACCTATCATCCTAACTACTTAGGAGGCTGAGATCTAAGGATTGCCTTCAAAGCCAAGAAAATCCATAAGACTTATCTCTAATTAACCACCAGAAAACTGGAAGTGGAGCTGTGGTTCAAAGTGGTAGGCACTAGCCTTGAGTGAAAAAACTCATGGACAGCGCCCAGGCCCTTAGTTTAATTCCCACGAGTGATACCTCCCCCTACCCCCACTCAAAAAAAAAAGAAAGAAAAAACCATCAGAATTAAACGAGAGAAAGGGTAACTAAGGTGGTTGGGTGCACCTGCAGGAAGGCTGCCAGCCCGTGAGCTAGAGTTGTAACTTGATAGCCTCGTTGCTCGAAGGATGACACATTGCATTAGGTGAAGAAAGTTACTGAGCAGGACAATTTCTTTTTTCCCCCCTCAATGCAGAGGACAGCCAGGAGCCAGTGCCTCACCCCTATAATCCTAGTTACTTTCTAGGGTGAGATCTGAGGATTATGGTTCACAGCCAGCTAGGCAGAAAATTTCATTAAATTCTTAACTCCAATTAACCAGCAAAATGCCTGAAGTGAAGGTGTGGTTCAAGTAGTGGAGGGCCAGCCAAGATCAAAGAATGAGAGGCCCTAAGCTCCTGTAATGGTATGAAAAATATTGCAAAGGAAAAAAAATGTAATAGAAAAATTTGTGAACAAAAATCAAGGGGCAATTTTTAATTATGTAGATATATTTCTTTATTATTTTGCCTTATGAGGTAAGTATATCTTAGTAGCTGTTACAGGAATAATAGGATATTATTATAAATTTCATTTAATTTGTTGAAATGAGTGAAATAACAGAAAATGTAAATAACCTGCATTACTCAGTGAAAAAGCATATAAGAGGAAGAAACAATAAGTGAAGATAATTTGTATAAAAATATTATTAAATGTATTAAAACTGACTGATTCACAGTGACTTACTTAAAAGGGGCCAAGTTTGGGAATAAATGAAACTATAAAATAGATTACTTTCCTGACAAAATGTAATGTAGCTAAACCAATCAAATCTACAATTGTCTGCAAAGTTATAAACCTCTAAGGAGAGTATTCTGGGTTGTTGGACTGCTAAAAATATGTACATTTTTCTAAAGCTCTTATCATTTTAACTGATAAGAATTATAGCTATTAATCATTGGATAGAGTAGATATTAGTAACTTAAGAGACAAATTTCTACTGAAGATAAAATTGACAATTATTCCAGAAATTCTGGTCAGTTTCTCCAATTTGGCATGTATGATGAAAATGATGCTCCGAAGTGGGTCATAAGAGGGATGAATGTTCAATGCCAGTTTATTTTGTAATGGGCGCTATGTAGTTATTTTTTTCCCGATTGTTCTTTGTTTTCCCTCTGAGACTAGGACTCAAACTGACTATCTGACGCTTTTAGGCTCACTGCCGCTGTCCTAACACCTGAGCCCCAACCTCTAACCCCCAAGCGCTATGATTCTTAATTCTGATTGATGCCCACTAGAGGAAAGAAGAGGGCCATAGTCTTGCTCAGAGTAGTGTTTATTCTTCGGAGGAAGCTGTATGGAATACTGACAGACTGTCCTAGAAGGAAAAGGTTAAAATACATTAGCTAACAAAGGCTGGCATACAACAAGTAATGACTGTAATACATGAGCAATAGCACATATAATTAGTCAGAGATATGATACATTAGTCGTGGTGTGCATTGGAAATGAATTTGATAGAGAAACTATCATTTTGTAGGACCTTTACCAGCTATTAGGCTATCATTGGTGTTTAGGTATAACTTCTTTTTTTTTTTTTTCCAGTCCTCGAGCTTGAGGGCCTGGGCACTATCTCTGAGCTTCTTTTGCTCAAGGCCAGCACTCTACCAATTGAGCCACAGCGCCACTTCCGGCTTTTTCTGTTTATGTGGTACTGAGGAATCGAACCTAGGGCTTCATGCATACTAGGCAAGCACTCTACCACTGAGCCACATTCCCAGGCCAAGGTATAACATTCTATAACTACTAAATATGAAGCGTAGTCTTTGTTCTGCAGTTCAGGGAAGTTGCTATATCATGTGAGTTACACTTCCAGCCCTCTTTTTACTTCAGGTTATTTTCCAGACAGGGTTTAGCTTTCGGCCCCAGTACTAGCTTCAGACTGTTATCCTCCTACTTAAGGCTCATCAAAGACCATGCGCCTGTGAGAGGGCTTGCTAACTTTTGCCCAGTCCAACGTTGAACTGAAATTCTTCCACTCTGTTTCTAAAATACTTGGGATGACAGCTGAGCAGCCACTGTACCTGGCTCAGGTGCTGAGTGCCTAGAGCCTTGCACTGATGAGCAGTTATTTTAAGGGTACCTCTAAAGAGCAGGGACAGTTCAAGCATTAGCAACTGAGGAAAATCACAAATTAACATCTTTCAAATGGTGAGGTTCTTCTATCCTATTGTGCACATCTTCCAAGAAGAAATCATTTGTTACATGAATAGTGATGACAAATATTGTAGTAGTGTCCCTCTTCTTTTGTTAGTGCACTAACAAAATTAGTTCATTGACATCTTTATTTAGCACCCAATTTTGTAAAATTTTCTTAGTAAAACTTACACTGCTGGCAACCAGATTAGAAAAATGCTTATAATAGGACATGTATAAATATTGTGCTTATTGTGCAGGAAAGCACATAAAGATAGTCGAGTTTTTCTCCTGTCAACTGCTTACTGTTGAGAGGGATGCTGCAAGGTGGCATCTTTAATCTTGTCCCACGTGACGCTATGCCCTTGGAAAGGCAGGGGAATTATCTGTCTTTCAGAACCATTTATTGTACTGTTAGATGCCTGGGAATGTAACAGAAACATTTATTTAGCTCAAAATATATGATGAAAACAGAAATAAGACAAAATTTCAATAAAATGAAGAAATTCAGTAAAATCACAGACACATTATTACAAAAAATGTTTTAGAAAAGTTTTTCTATCCAATATTTTTTCTTATCTTAAAAAAAAGCTAGGCTGGGTGCTGGTGGCTCACATGTATAATCCTAGCTAATCAGGAGGCTGAGATCTGAGGATTGAGGTTCAAAGCCAGTCCACGCAGGAACGTCTTTGAGACTCTCATCTCCAATTAACCACCAGAAAACTAGAAGTGGCACTGTGGTTCAAGTGGTAGAGTGCTTGCCTTGAGCAGAAAAGCTCAGGGACAGCATCCAGGCCCAGAGTTCAAGCCCATGACCAACAAAAAAAATTATCATTAAGTAGTTATACACAGGGGCTTCAATTCAGCATGTTAGTTTATGAATACAATGCTTCTTGATCAATGTCACCAATTCCATCATTCTCCCCCATCTCTCGCAACCCTACTCATCCTCAAGTTACCTGGCTCCATTTTCACATGTGGATACTGAATATTTATGACTATATATGTCCACTATTCAAGACTATACATTTGAAAAAAAATATTTAATGCCTTTTATTCTGTCTAGTCAGCTAACCAACCATCCAAAGGATCTCTCAGATTTGGCTGGGCCTAGGCCCATTCAGAAAGAGCTACAATCATCTGTACATAAACCTTCTGCACAGTGGTTATCCTACATGTACCATAAAGCTAAATGTATATATATTCTAATACACACACACATATTCTAAAGTCTAATGCATCTGTAAGTCCATGAGAGCAGTTCTAAATGATGTTACATGTACTACCTGCTTTGTGTTCACTTCCAATTCTGGCCAGTTCTTTGTTTCAGATGTCTCCAAATCAGAATTAAAGCTATAATATTTAAAAGGGTTATGGTTACTCTTTCAAAATATCAACACTGGGATAACAAATTTCAATAATAAAAACAAACCCAAAGGAATGCGATCCATCTATGCTCGTAAAATGTGTTATATCCTAATTAGATAACCAGGAAATAGTAGATATGGTTTAGATTAAAAAGATCTCTTTTTCCATTTTTTGAATAGTAACTAGACACCAGTTAAATGAAATGGGACTAGTGCTGCAATGAACATGGTTGTACTGGTGGCTTTACTATAATCCTGATTTGTAATCTTTTTTTGTTTTATGTATAGACTTAGTAAAAACTTGCTTTTTTTTTTTTTTTTTTTTTGTCGGCCATGGGGCTTGAACTCTAGGCCTGAGCGCTGTCCCTCAGCATTTCAGCTCAAGGCGCTCAAGGCGAGCGCTCTGCCACTTGAGCTACAGAACCACTTCCGGTTTTCTGGTGGTTTACTGGAGATAAGAGTTTCACATGGGGCCGGGAAGGTGGCTTAGTGGTAGAGCACTTGCCTTGCATACATGAGGCCCTGGGTTCGATTCCTCAGCACCACATAAGCAAAAAGAAAAAAGCTGGAAGTGGCGCTGTGGCTCAAGTGGTAGAGCACTAGCCTTGAGCTGAAGAGCTGAGGGACAGTGCCCAGGCCCAGAGTTCAGGCCCCATAACTGACAAAAAAAAAAAAAAAAAATCTATCTATCTATCTATATATGTATATATATATATGGTATATATGTACATATATATAGGACATATCTATATCTATATATGTTTTTAGACCCATACTTGAAACATCAAATATGAAACACTCACAAGAAACAAGTTTAATAGCTATTTTCAACAATGACTGATAGTGCTAATGAAATACAGAATAGGAAAAGTCCTGTTAACTTCATTCCAATTAAAAGCACCATTGTACCTAGGAATCAAGGAATATGGCTCATTAACTTATTTTAATTTCCTGAGCTTACTGTTGGTGGTTGTTTATCATACCTGCTTAATTCAGTCTGAGTTTCAGCCTCCGTCCTTTGATCTGAACATTCCTTTTTTCGTTTGGCAGGTGTATAATATCGATACTGTGATAGGAAAGATTTTGCATCTGTTTTTAAAGTGCGTGGAGTGAATGGCAACTCTTTGTTAGAAAAGAGGTCAGAATGTTTTTCCAATAGATCCCCACTGGGTGCTTTTGAAATGACTAGCTGAAATCTGTGAGCATTTGGGAGTGTGTTTCTGGGCCTTCTGCCATTCATGGTTCCATAGCGTGATTTCCTGGGGGCTGCGGGGAGATAATCCAGGCTGGGTGGACAGGAGCTGGAGTTCTTCTCATCACCAATCATGAAGACTTTATCTGATTTAGGTAGATTGAGGTGCAGTGTTTCTGGAGAAGGTACTACTGACTTCTCAAATTCATTTACTTCTAATAGCACATCCTGGTCTTGCAGTTCTCCTGAGGGCTAAGAACATTTGATTTGATAGTTTTCAGTTGTATTAAAGATTCATATAATTACAGCTCTCTAAATTAATTAAGATGTGTAATTCATTTAATCTTTTTTTTTTTTTTTTTGTCGGTTGTGGGCCTGAACTCTGGGCTAGTGCTCTACCACTTGAGCCACAGTGCCACTTCTGGCTTTTTCTGTGTATGTGGTGCTGAGGAATCGAACCCAGGGCCTCATGCATGCCAGGCAAGCACTCTACACTGAGCCACCTTTCCAGCCCAATTCATTTAATCTTTACACAAATTCCTGAGTGGTAGAACTACTGTTGCCTTTTTATGGTGGGGGGAGGGGAGGAAAAGCTGAACCCAAACCTTGTGCATGTGAGGTTACCGGAGTATGCCGTTCTACCTGAGTTACATCTGGGTCCTACCCTTAAGACTGAGGTACAGGGTCTCACAGATTCAAATAGAATCCGAGCCTTTGCCCTTTACCATTACATATCTATTGTTAAAACTCATTTGAAAATCATGTAAGTTTTAGCGCTTCTTTTGTGGTACTGGGATTTGGAATCAGGACTTCTCACTCTACTCCTGTGTGTGTGTCCTGTGTTTTGTTGGTTATTTATTAATTTAATTTCTCTATGTGTGTGTGCCAGTCCTGGGGCTTGAACTCAAGACTTAGGTGCTGTTCCTTGAGCTTCTTTTTTTCAAGGCTAGTGCTTTACCACTTTGAGCCACAACTCCACTTCCAGGTTGTTGTTTTTTTGGTAGTTTAGTAAAGATAAGAATCTCACAGACTTTCCTTCAGGGGCTAGCTTTGAACTGTGATCCTCAGATCTCAGCCTCCTAAGTAGCTAGAATTACAAGTATGAGCCAGCAGTGCCTGGCTTACTAGCTATTTTTGAGATAAGGTCTTGGTTTTTTGCCTAGGAGTGTGCCTGGACTATAATCTACCTATTTTAAGCCTTCCATGGTTGCTGGGATGACAGGATCTTGCCAGAACATCCAGTTTCCCTCCATTAAGATGAAATCTCAGAGTGGCTGGGACCTCACACAGTAATCCTAGTTACTCAGATCAGAGGATCAAGGTTCAAAACCAGCCCAGACAAGCAAGTCTGTGAAACTCATTTCCAATTAACTATCAAAAAGCCAGACATGATTGTATGGCTCAAGGGTGGTAGAGTGACAAACTTGAGCAGAAAAGACAAGAGAGAGCTTGAGGCCTTGAGTTCAAGCTCCAGTGCTGTAACAAAAGAAAACAAAATAAAAGATGATGTCTCACAGACTTGTTAGCAGTAGTTGTAGTTATCTGTAGTTAGTAGTTGCTTGTAGTAGTAGTTTTTCCCTAAAATAAAATGCCAAACAGAGTCTCTTTAAAGACATAGCTTGGTGGTAGAGTGCTTGCCTAGCATGCACAAAGTTGTGGGTTCCATCCCCAATGCTGCAAAAATAAAAAATGTATAATATATAATCATAAAATGAAAATATACTTGTGAGTCAAACATGAATGCCCAGATTCCCAGATGGTAAATTACAGCACAGAGCCCATAGCAGATTTATTCTGAAGCAAGCAGCTCTATTTCTGCAGCTTTTATCTATACACTAGCCTGGGAAGTTCATAATCATATTCACTGCTTCCCCGATGACTCCCAAGCCTATTTACAGCCCAGATCTCTCTCCTGACACAGATGTCTATATCCAACTATCTATTCAATGTACTAGATGTTCTAGAGACATCCTGAAGCAATCATACCCAAACAAGCTCATACTTTGAATTACTCTCATCCCTGAAGAAAAGCTCACTTCATCTTGTTACTCTCATTTCCTTGAGTGTCATTATCCTAGATGCCCAAGCAGAAACCCAAGAACCTTCTTTGTTCCTCTCAAGCCAGTCACCAAGTCTGAGGGATAAATATTTCTCTTTCTCTCCCCCTCTCTTCCTCTTCATCTTTCTCACCCTCTCTCTAGGTGGTACTGGGATTTGAACAGGGGTGTCCTTCTTGCTGAGCAGACGCTCTACAACTTGGGCCATACCCAACATCTTCTGGCTCATTGAGAAGGAGTCTCACAGACATTTCTGTCCTGGCTGGCTTTGAACCAAATAGGAAGGATTATAGGAATGAGCTATCAGCTCGTAGTTAGTATTTCTTACATGTATCCCTGTGCTCTCTCTACTGCCTTGGATTGGGTCATAAGTCCTTTCCAGATTGCTGCAAGTGTCTCATAGGTCATGTGCCATTCAGTGTAACCTTTGTTAAATCGATAATGATATAAGCTCCTCAATCAAAATCCACACTTCCTCCATATTTCTCAGATTCACTAGTATGGACAAATAGTCATTTTTCTCTACATACTGATAAATTCCATTTTCATTTGCAATGGAGAGATCTGGAGTTAAAATATAGCATTTAGTACCTGGTAAGTGGAGCAGTGGTAGGCTCACCACACACAAGATGAGAATTAGGGGCAGAAAACAAAACATTTACTTATAGTTTCCATAGCTGGACCACAGATGTGTTCTATCACATTGGGTTTATTTGTTAAAATGGGGTCTCACTAACTTTTCTTTTTGTTGGTTGTGAGGCTTGAACTCTGGGCTAGGGTACTGCCCCTTAGCTCTTTAGTTCAAGGTGAGTGCTCTACCACTTGAGCCACAGTGCTACTTCCAGTTTTCTGGTGGTTAATTGGAGATGAGAGTCTCATGGACTTTCCTGCCTGGACTGGCTTTGAACCTTGATCCTTAGATCTCAGCCTCCTGAGGAGCTAGGATTACGGGTGCGATCCACCAGCCCCAGCTCACTAACCTTTTGTCTGGGGGGCTGGCCTCAAACTATGATCTTCTCAGCTCTGCCTCCAGAGGAGCTGAGATTAAGGAGTGTACCATCACCCATGGACATTTAAAAGAAAAAAAGTTTTTTTTGAGATGGGGACTATGTTGCTCAGGTTTGCCTGAACTCCATGCGAGCTGAGATTACATACATGAACCACAACGCCTGGGCTCTGTTGTGGTGTGGTTCTCTATCAGATATATTCCAAAACTGTGAGAAGGCTGGATAGCATTAGGGTAAAAAGGCAAACTGCACAGTGGCTGGCTGCAAAACTGTATTAGAGCAGGACATCACGGCGATCACTCCCTTCCCCACAACTGGCCAAACAGGACTGTTAGGTATTCCTTGCTTCACAACTGGCCAATCACAATGATTGTTAGGTTAATCCTTGCTTCATTTTAGTAGCATCTATCATTGACCCATCATTAGCCTTGCCAAACTGCCTATTCTCATTGGACATCTGACCTAGGGAATAACAGAAAATCCCCTCTAAGGACAGAAAAGTGCAGGAAACTCTGTTTAGTGACATTCCTGGTCCTTTCATGGAATTCCACATCTTTCCCTGCAAAACTCAAGAAAAAGCTTCTCTTCAATTGAAGTTTGTTCTTAAGATAAGTTATCTAAAATTCCAGAGATGCCATTCTCGCAAGAGGCACACTCTCCCTTGAGTGTGTACTTTTACTCTGTTTTTTTTTTGTTGTTGTTGTTGTTGTGGGCCTGAAATCTGGGCCTGGGCGCTGTCCCTCAGCTCTTCAGCTCACAGCTAGCACTCTACCACTTGAGCCACAGCGCCACTTCTAGCTTTTTCTGTTTATGTGGTGCTGAGGAATCGAACCCAGAGCCTCAAGCATGTGAGACAAGCACTCTTCTACTGAGCCACCTTCCCAGCTGTACTTTTACTCTGTAATAAAACTTCCAATCTCTGTCTCATCTCTGAATTCCTTCTCAATTCTTTCAAGAACTGAGAAACATTGGATGGAAGGTTATGTCTAGTCTGAGACCTCCCAGCATTTCCCACTGACCACAAAATGCTGACCAAAATAATCTGGGATGGAGACAGTCAGTGGGGACTCAGATGAGATTGATCCTGTAAGCATGGTCACACCTGGGTGACAGGAATGTGGGATCGTGCAGATTCATTATATAATTCTAATGTTGTAGATGCTGAGGCTTCTTTCTTTCTTTTTTTTTTTTTGTCTGTTGTGGGCCTTGAACTCTGGACCTAGGTACTGTCCTGCGGCATGCTCTTCAGCTCAAGGTTAGTGCTCTACAAGTTGAGCCACAGCGCCACTTCTGGCTTTTTCTGCTTATGTGGTGCTGAGGAATTGAACCCAGGGCCTCATGCATGCTAGGCAAGCACTCTACCACTGAGCCACTTCCCAGCCCCACTGAGGTTTCTAAAACTAAACATTTTAATGTTAGTGGGCTCAGGTGGTAAGAGTGTCAGCCTTAAACAGAACAAAAACTTTTTAATATTGAGGTACTGTCAAATTCAAAGAGAAATTATTTCAAACTTTCATAAGCTAGATACAAAAGAGGAATCAGTGCTCAATTTATGATGTTAGCCTAACCAGACATAGGGAAGCATATAAAGCAGATGGCAAAGCAGTGATATTCAGATGCTGAAATCTAAAATGTTAGCAACTTAATGCAGCAATGTATAATGTTATACATCATGATGGAAGTTTGTTTATACTAAGGATATAAAGTCAGTTTAAGATTAGAAAGTTTTGAAATTCACCACATTAGTGGACTAAAAGAGGAAATGATATCATTCTGAGATGTAAAAAAGATTAGATAAAATTATCCATTCATAAAGGGGTAGAAAAAAATCCTCTTAGCAGAGCTGGTATAGAAAAGATTTTTAATCAGATATTAAAGAGAATCACAGAAGAGGCTGAGATCTGAGGATCACATTTCAAAGCCAGACCAGGCAGGAAAGTCCATGAGACTTTTATCTCCAATACACCACCAGGAAACTAGAAGTGGTGCTGTAGCTCAAGTGGTAGAGTGCTAGTCTTGAGATGAAAAGCTGAGGGACAGTGCCCAGGCCCAGAGTTCAAGCCCCAGGATCACCACCACCACCACCACCAACAACAAAAGAATCACAGAAAACCTACAGCCCAAGTCATCAAATTACAGTCTGTATGCTAAATATGATCCAGTCTTTTTTAGTTAATAAAGACTTATTATACATGGACAAGCCTATTTGGTATTGTCTTTTTCAGCTTTCTGGTGACAAAACAGTTGTGACAGAGACTGTGTGGTATGAAAACCTGAAATACTAACCATCTAGTTCTTTTTGTTTTTCCCCTGCCAGTACTGAGCTAAGAGCTCAGGGCCTCCAGTTCTTGCTTGGCTTTTTCACTCCAGGCTGGCACTCTATCACTGGAGCCACACCTCCAGCTTTTCTAGTGGTTAATTGGAAATAAAGGTTTTCTCAGGCTGGGCGTTGGTGGCTCATGCCTATCTATAATCCTAGCTATTCAGGAGGCTGAGATCTGAGGATCATGGTTCAGAGTCTGCCCAGGCAGGAAAGGCCATTAGACTCTTATCTCCACTAAACCCTCAGAAAACTGGAAGTGGCGCTGTGGTAGAGCACTAGCCTTGAACAGAAGAGCTGAGGGACAGTGCCCAGGCCCAGCGTTCAAGCCAAATGATTGACCAAAAAAACAAAAACAAAAACACAAACGAAAACAAAAAACCCCCTCAGATTTGTCTGCCCTGGCTAGCTTCCAATCATGATCCTTAGATCTCAGCCTCCTAAGTAGTACCTCTGATCATCTTGTTCTTAGTGGTACAGGTCTGTTGACCCTAAGTAACTGCAAAATGCTGCCCCAAACTCATGTCATACGACTAATGAAGCACCTTAGAAATATTTGCTTTTAAATAGTAAAAACACAACCTTACCTTCTGAAGGGTGTTAAAAAATGACTTGGCATTAATTTTAGAATGGGCTTGCATTGCAGTTTTAGCTAATTTTAACTCTTTTTCCCAACGTGCTAATTCCTTTTTGAGTTTCTCTCTTCGTTGTTGGTCTGCATCTAAGGGGGAAAACAGATCTTTTAAAATATGTAAGAAAAAAAAGGAAGATTAAGTTTTTGGTCTTGTTAGACTAATAACATGGAATATTTTTTTCTTGCTAAAAATGTTTACTCCATGCTAGGTAAATAAAACCAGTAATTTTTTCTGTACAGAGCTTTAAACATGTACTTTATGGAAATCCTAACTGGATGAACTACAGCATACAAATAGTGTGAGAAACTAGACAAGTCTCAGAGTAAGGTATAGATCCTGGCAGGTATTTATAGAGAAACAGAGGTGGAGATGCTCAGTCATGCTGTATGACTGTGTAACTAAAATGCAGATTTTTCCAAGTGAAGTAGTATCAATAGCTGTGTATGCTATTAAAACATTGACCTGTACATGACTTAAAAAATGTCATTTTAGGGGCTGGAAGTTGGCTCAGTGGTAGAGTGCTTGCCTTGCATGCATGAGGACCTGAGTTCAATTCCTTAGCACCACATAAGCAAAAAAAAGCCAGAAGAGGTGCCATGGCTCAAGTGGTAGGGCGTTAGCCTTGTGCTGAAGAGCTGAGGGACAGCGCCCAGGCCCAGAGTTCAGCCTCCACGACTGACCAAAAAAAAAGTCATTTTAGAGCTGGGCTTCAGTGGCTTATGCCTGTAATCCTAGCTACTCAGGAGGCTGAGATCTGAGGATTACAGTTCAAAGCCAGCCCAGGCAGAAAAGACTGAGACTCTTATCTCCAATAAACCACTGGAAAACCAGAAGTGGTGCCATGGCTCAAGTGATAGAGCACTCGCCTTGAGCTGAAGAGCTGAGGGACAGCGCCAGGCCCAGAGTTCAAGCCCCATGACAGACCAAAAAAAAAAAAGTCATTTTACAGCTAGGCACAGTGATACTCTCTCTCCTGTAGTCCTCGCTACTAGTGAAAGGGCCAGGTTGTTACTTGACCCAGGAGTTCAAGACCAGCCTGGGCAATATAATGAGATCATGTCTCAAAAAAAAAACATATCAAACCACATCATAAATAAAACAAAAAATCCACTTTTTTTTTCTTTTTTGTTGGTTATGGGGCTTGAACTCTGGGCCTGGATGCTGTCCCTCAGCTCTTCAGCTCAAGGAGAGTACTCTACCACTTGAGCCACAGTGCTACTTCTGGTTTTCTGAGTGGTTTTTTGGAGATAAAAGTCTCATGGACTTTCCTGCCCAGACTGGCTTTGAACCGTGATCCTCAGATCTCAGCCTCCTGAGTAGCTAGGATTACAAGTGTGAGCCACCAGGTTCCCAGCTGAAAAATCCAGTTTTACACTTTAAAAAAACCCACCCTCCTTCCCCTTTCCTTCATTTCTCCCCCACTTTTTTTCCTATTTCCTTTCCCCTTCCTTTTCCTTTTTCCTTCCTTTTTTCTTTCTTCATGACAGTCTCTTTATGTAGCCCAGGCTATATACCTCAAAATCAACAATCTTCCTGCCTTAGCCTCCAGAGTGCTGGGATTATAGGCACACGCCACCAAATCCAGTCTGAATAACATTTTCAATCATGGCACCAGGCTCCTATTTCTCTAACTGATACTAATTTGAAAATAGAAAGAGGAAAATGTCATCACACTTAAGTGTGCTTTAAGTCAAGTATCAACTTGTCATCAGAGATTAACCATTGTATGCAAAATAAAAATGGTGAAATGAAAGCTAGCCAAACTCCAGAATTAAATACAAGGCTGCTTATCAGTAAGATGAGTTATTGTAGATAGATAGATAAATAGATAGACACACACACACTATATATATGTGTATATATATACACATATATATATACACATATATATATATATATATATATGTATATATCTCTGTGTTACATCACAGTGCTTTAACTCAGGGCCTATGCACTGCCCCTGAGCATTTTTTGTTCAAGGCTACCACTCTACCACTTTGAGCCACAGCACACTTCCAGTTCCTGAGGTTAATTGGAGATGAGTATCTCATGGACTCTCCTGTCTGGGCTGGCTTTGAACCATGATCCTCAGATCTAAATAGCTAGGATTATAGGTGTGAGCCACTGGCGCCCAGCTCAAATTAAAAATTTAGCTTTTTTGTGCTGGCACTGGGACTTGAACTCAGGACCTGGGTGCTGTCCCTGAACTCATCTGCTCAAGGCTCTACCATTTGTGCCACAGCTGTACTTCCAGCTTTTTGTGGTTAATTAGGGATAAGAGTCTTATGGACTTTTTGTGCCCAGGCTGGCTTTGAATCATTATCTTTAGATTACAGCCTCCTGTGTAGCTAGGATTACAGGTGTGAGCCATCAGTGTCAGGCCTATTATTCTACTTTTTTTTTTTTTCTTCTGCTGGTCCTGGGGCTTGAACTCAGGGCCTGGGTACCCTCCCTGTCACTTTTTTTTGCTCAAGACTGGTGCTCTACTACTTGAGCCACAGTGCCATTCTGGCCTAACATTCTTTTTGATAGAATCTATCCCAATGTAAGGACAAAGTAGTTTCAGGTTTTAATCACCCCAATTTGAAACACAATTCCTGCTAAAGCTTTCTGCAAAAAGTTTATGAAAAAATAAAGGTAATTTATATGTAAAATTATTTTTGAAAAGATAATAAGCATGGTAAAGAACATGTTAATCTTTCATTTAAAATGTACTCTGAAGTAGTAGAGTACTTTCCTTGTCTGTATAAGACCTAGGTTTGATCCCCAGTGTGGCAAAGGAAAAAATATAGACTGAAATACCACATTTAGCCTTTTTCATCCTCAAATATTTCTTAGAGGATACAATAGGAATGTTATAGCAAATAGTTGTTTGTGGAATGAATTAATTAGAATATTCTTAGCTAAGCATGTCAACTAGTATGATACCACCAGACACTGTCACAAAAAACCTTCTGATTCCTTTACTCTGGCTGCAATGCCTACCATCGCCAGAGCGTCGGGAACAATTGTAAAGAGGACATGGAGAAACTGACACTGTAATTCACGGGAGTGTGAGTGTGAAATGACCTTGTCACTTTAGAATCTAAACACTTGAACAGTTTGTTTTCAGTATTGTGTTTTTAAAGTTAAACAGTTAGGGTAACAAATTTTATGTGATGTTTATTTTACCATGATTTTTTAAAAAGATAGTGTGTAAAAATGACTTACATTTGATGCTGGTATTTACACTTATTGGAACTGAGCAGTCCACTGCAGCTGAAAGAAAAAAAATGATTGTCTCAAAATATTGTTCATATTTATAAATGAAAACAAATACTTTAAGTATGGAAATCACAAAAAGTTTTAGTGCTTGAGTTTTGTTCTGAATTTCACTGTATTTATGGAGATGAAAAATAAACTATCTTTAATAAAACTACACTGGTTGGAATTAACAGCTCTCCAGATAATGTAGAAGAAAATATTAGAGAACTTAACATAGTAATATAAACTAATCAAAATGAAATAGAAGAAACAAAGACTGAAAAAATAAATGTTTCAAAATTGACTTGATACTGCCTTTCTCATGTACCTTGACAAGAAACTGGAGTTAAAATAAGTTCGATAAAATACAGAGCAAGGTAGAGGACTTATACTACCTGACTTACATTTACTATAATGCCATGGTAACAAAGACACTGTAGTAAACATAAAGACAGGCACGTAGATGAACAGGTCCAAAGACTAAGTAAAAACAAGACCCACACATATGGCCCAAATGACTTTCCAAAAGTGCCAAGGTAATTCAAAAGGGAAAGAAGAATTTCTAAATCATATGGTACTGGAAATTTTGAATATGATTGGGAAAACAGTGACATTTCAATCATATTATATAGTGGGACATATATGTAATATTTAAAAGTACAAAACATCCAGAATGAAATAAGTTTAGAAAAACCTTAGTGGCTTAAATTAGACCAAGAATTCAATAGGGCATACAAACTATAAATCCTGAAAACTGAATTTGATTTCACATTTTTAACATCATATTATTTTTTCTTTTGAAAATTTTAATTATTTAAAAATGTAAGCATCATAAAATATAAATCACAAGTTTTAAATTTTAGTTCTGCAAATAAGAAACATGACTCATTGGGAGATGGAGGTAGGTACATTGTGCCACTCTGAGCTACATAGAAGGACCCTGCCTAAAAAAAATAATAAAGAAGAACATTTAAAAATTAAGTGAAATTAGCAAAAAATTAGTGAAATTCAAAAAAGCCTCATAGTTGTTAGTATTTATAATATTAATTTCCTTGTTTTAATAATTATATTAAGATTTTAGAAGGTATTAGGGAAAAGGTATCTAATAACTACACCATTTATTTTTTAATCTTGCTGTTACTAACATTTATTCCAGAATATTTTTTTTTTTTTTGTCGGCCGTGGGGCTTGAACTCTGGGCCTGGGCGCTGTCCCTCAGCTCTTCAGCTCAAGGCGAGCGCTCTACCACTTGAGCTACAGCGCCACTTCTGGTTTTCTGGTGATTTATTGGAGATAGGAGTCTCATGGTCTCTCCTGCCCGGGCTGGCTTTGAACCGTGATCCTCAGATCTCAGCCTCCTGAGTAGCTAGGATTACAGGCGTGAGCCACCAGTGCCCGGCTATTCCAGAATATTTTTAAAAGAAAGTATGAGGTGTAGCTTAAATGTAGAAAGTTTGTTTCACAGCTATGAGACCCTGAGTTTACTCCACAGTACTATGAGGAAAAAGAACCAGTCACAGGCTGGGGAAAAATACCTATAACATATATAGAAGATACAAGACCTGCATTTAATATGTAAAGAACTCACAACTTACTACTACAGAAACAAAGAACCTGTTTTAAAAAGTGGACAAAAGACTTAAACAGAAGACAAACGGCAAATAAGAAAGGCTGCATCATTGGGCATCAGGACCTCTGGAAGCTCAAACAAGAAAGACCTACTATAACAGGTCCACTGCCATGGCTAACAAGGACCACCACCAACAGATGCTGGTGAAGATGGGGGAGCAATGGGAATACACAGCAAGACAGGAATCTGGAAAATAATTGGGCATTTTCTTTTAAGGTTAAATATACACTTGCCATATTACAGAAACACATGTTCACAGGTTATCTGTGGATGTTTATAACAGCATTACTCCCAGTATCCAAAGGTGATCCCAAACAATCCAGTATTCACCAGTGGGTGAATCAATAAACAAATGATGTCAGGTTTATTAAATGGGATACTACTTTGTAGTAAAAGGAAGACATACAGATAAACATGACAACATGTGTTAGTCTCAAAGGTATTATGCTGATTGAAAGAAGTGAAGATGAAATTACAGAAAAGGTAAAACTGTAGTAACAGTGAAGATTAGTGGCTGTGGGGGATTTGAGGGAGAGGGACTGACTGCAAAAGGTAAGAAGTTCTGGGGCTGATTTTTCTGAAAAAGAGTCAGCGAGCAAGGGCTTTGGGCTTTGCATGGTGCCACAGTCTGAAACAGCAGTCAGTTCTGCTTGTTAGTTCAAAAGTGGCCACAGGTACCTAAAACAACATGCATGGTGGTGCCTATGAACAGTTATATATCAATTTCATATTACTTTCATATGTCACAAACTATTGTTCTTTTATCTTTTAGCCTTTAAAATATAAACATTATTCTTAGTTCATACTGAACATAACAGTGGCAGGAGAATTTGGCCTGAAAGTTACAGTCAAATGATTCCAGTTTGATAGTATAATTATAGTAGTGATTATAAACATACATGTTTTTCAGAATTGTTAATTGAATATGCACTTATATTTAGACCAGAAACTCAAGAATAAAAATAGTAGCCAGTATTTTCTTTGTGTAACTTTCATAGCAGATTTGAAAACAAAAAAGTGATTACAAACATTAAGTTCAATAGCCAGCTAGGTGTGGTGGTATATATTTAAAATCTCACCACCCAGGAGGCTGAGGCAAGAGGATTGCAAGTTTGAGGCCCACCTGGGTTTCAAGGAAAAATTATAAATAGAAAGGAAAAAAAGCAGTATCTAACAACAAGATAATAATTCAAACACATAAAATGAAATAGCCTAGGTATTATGTAGATTTTAAACATAGTGAAAAACAAACAAAAGACCCTGGTGTTCTACAGGGTCAATAGTTGGTATCCTACTATATCAGACACAAATCCTTCTATAAAATAAATTTTGCCAAAGATTTATTCTGGGGGGGGGCAGGGTGTCAAATTGGGCACAGAAAGTTTACATATGAACTTTTACCTTTGGCTGAAAGGATTTTATTATAGTGAACAGCCATGTGATTCTTGACCAGCTGGAGAGTGGTTAGTCTGAGAGAAGAGGAGTCAGTGCAAAAAGCTAAAAATTAAAACACATTTAATCATTATATATTTAAAATGAATACATTAATCATCATAAGATAACTTACTTTTTACAAAATGCTGTGAATTAAACCACAGCGATACTGAAACTCTGCCTTGTTGAAGCTGAGTACATCCTAGCCTGAATCTTGCACTAACACTGATGAGCTATGATTACGTACGTTCAAAGCCTTGCAAGGCCTGAGTGTTTGAGAAAGATTCTAGAAGCAACCTATTATACACCTTAAAATTTCTTTCTTTTTAATATATCTTAACCTCATAACTAAAGATTTTTAGCTACTTGCTTGATTTAAAAATCTTAACATGTTAATCCCCAAACAATCCACAGAAATTGGGAAATCTAACAAATCTAATGCCACAATACCTTATACAAAGATTCCATTCTGAGAGCAAATTTCTAGTTTTGCAACTGAAAACAATATCTACAAATCTGCTTAGTAGAGTCCTTTAAATGTAGTAGGCCTATTTTAATATAAGTACTATTACATTAAAATCCCGTAACATGAAACTTTTAGACCTTCAAACTGTTGAAAGAAAATCTTAGAAATCGTTAACCATTTACATAACAAATATAAAAATGTAGATATAATTTTTTGTATGGCTGGGGATCAAACCCAGTGACTTGCACATACTAGACAACAGACATACTTTCTTTGAATATGGAAAACGTTTTTTGAGAATATATGCATATAGTCGTTAGCATGTAGAGATAGAAAATTTTGTGACTTTTCTATACTGAGCCTTAGTCTCCTCTCCCAAATATATAACTCTATTACTTTTTAAATAATTTCTTCCAGGGAACATCTTTTTTTTTTTTTTTTTTCCAGTCATGGGCCTGGGCGCTGTCCCTCAGCTCTTCAGCTCAAGGCAAGTGCTCTACCACTTGAGCCATAGAGCCACTTCTGGTTTTCTGGTTGCTTATTGGAGATAAGAGTCTCACAGACTTTCCTGCCTCGGCTGGCTTTGAACCGCAATCCCCAGATCTCAGCCTCCTAAATACTAGGATTAGAGGTGTAAGCCACTAGCATCTGGCTTTTTTGTTTCTGTTTTTCCTTTTTCAGGACCTCCACAAGTTTACTCACTTGCTCAGCTGGTACTCTACCACTTGAGTCATGCCTCCAGTCCCTTCCAGAGAAGCTCTATGCATAATAAGCATAGACAATAATTGTGAGTTTTATTATCATTAAAAGTACTTTTCGAGTACCACTTGCCAAGCATTGCTCCAAGCTTTTTAAATGTAAAAGCTCTTTTTATTTATTTATTTTTTGTTGGTTGTGGGGCTTGAACTCTGGGCACTTGTGCTCTACCACTTGAGCCACAGTGCCACTTCTGGTTTCTGAGTGGTTTATTGGAGATAAGAATCTCAGGGATACTCCTGCCCAGGCTGGCTTTGGACTATGATCCTCAGATCTCAGCCTCCTGAGTAGCTAGGATTACAGGCATGAGCCACCAGCGCCCAGCCCAAGGCTTATAACTTTTAAGTTATAACTACAAAAATTTAAAGATAACATTACAGTTTCACTTTGAAGGCTCTAAAATACTTATCTATCACAGGACCTAGAAATCCAGTAGGAAAGAGGTCTACAATACTTACTCAGGGTAAATTCAAGTTCTCTCTTTCTCTACACGCTTTTCCTTTCCAGGACTGTGTTTACCACATGAAACCTTCTATCTTAACAAGGTAGGCATGTTTTTGGTTTGTTTTGTTGGTCGTGGGGCTTGAACTCTAGGCCTGAGCGCTGTCCCTCAGCATTTCAGCTCAAGGCACTCAAGGCGAGCGCTCTGCCACTTGAGCTACAGAACCACTTCCGGTTTTCTGGTGGTTTACTGGAGATAAGAGTTTCACATGGGGCCGGGAAGGTGGCTTAGTGGTAGAGCACTTGCCTTGCATACATGAGGCCCTGGGTTCGATTCCTCAGCACCACATAAGCAAAAAGAAAAAAGCCGGAAGTGGCGCTGTGGCTCAAGTGGTAGAGTGCTAGCCTTGAGCTGAAGAGCTGAGGGACAGTACCCAGGCCCAGAGTTCAGGCCCCACGACTGGACCAAAAAAAAAAAAAAGGGTTTCACAGACTTTCCTGCCTGAGCTGGCTTTGAACCTCGATCCTCAGATCTCAGCCTACTGAATAGCTAGGATTACAGGTGTGAGCCACCGAGCCTGGCTGGTAGGCATGTTTTGTCAGGGTTATTGATGGTAAAGCAGATTACGGACTACAGACTCTACCTGTGCAGGAAGCTGGAGGCAGTAAGTCAACATCCTGAACTCTTAAATTTCTCTAAACAATTCTCTTGATATTTAATAATGTTAAGTCCAAATAACCATTAAATAATTGATTATGTCCTACAGTTGCCAATAAAGGAAACAAAAAATCTTTCACCAGCTAGAAGTTTAAGTACAGAACTTACCATTACTTTTGGTGCTCAAGTGTCCTTTAAATATACATGGTGGGCAATATCTGGGAAGGACAGGGGTTGTTCTGACTTTTAACAATAAAATCCAAAAACAAGAATTAGGAAAATGAAATACAAAACCAATACAAAAGATTTAAAGAACAAGAAATTTGTCTTTAAATAGTCAGCAAAAATATTATTCAATTATTTTACTAGCCAGTAATAATATATAGGAATATTCAGTGGTAATGAATTGAAGATTTCTGTTTTAATGAAAAAGTTATTTTAAAACATCTCATATTCAGACTTTGGCTAAAATGATAAATACATCAGTTGTATCACTTTATATATACTGGTTTTGTTAATACATTTTTTTCTTTTCTTTTTTGTTGGCTGTGGGGCTTTAACTCAGGGCGTGGGTGCTGTCCCTAAGCTCTTTTGCTCAAGGCTACTGCTCTATCACTTACAGTTTTCTGGTGGTTAATTGGAGATAAGAGTCTCATGGACTTTCCTGGCTTTCAGCTCAGATCTCGGCCTCCTGAGTAGTAGGCATGAGCCACCAGCTCCCAGCTTTTCTTTTTTGGTGGAATCTTGTCATCTTGCTGTGTTGCCCACGTTAGTCTTGAATGCCTAACTAAACATCCTATATTTAAAAAGAACTCTAGTAATAGAAAACTATTTCCTCTAAAAGAAGAACCCAATCTGTTAGACTACAAAGGATGCTGGAAAATTACAAATAGAACTGATCATAATTTCTTTCTCCAAAGAGTGATAGAATTAATTACAATATTCAAAATAGTGCTAAAGTTACAGAAATTATCATAAAAAGCATAAATATTGCACTAGCAAGATCTTTTTCTCTGTGCATATGGCAGTGGGGGTGTATGCCAAGGATCAAATGTTATACCAAGGAAGGGCTAAGTGCTCTATCTCTAGTGGTAAAATAGCTGCAAGTTTGCTATAAGATAGGCGGTTAATAGCTATAAAGGTGTTGAAAGGATACATACAAAGTCTCATAGAGATGTGAAAAAAGTGGAAGACTGAAAACAAAGAAAGACAAGAGCAGTATAATCCAATTACAGAAATGAGGAAGTAAAAGTGTTGCTCAGGTGGTACAGCACCAGCCTCGAGTGAAAGAGCCAAGCAAGAGTGCCAGGCTTGCTGGGTGCTGGTGACTCATGCTTGTAATCCTAGCTACTCAAGAGGCTGAGATTTGAGGATCCTGGTTTGAAGCCAGCGCTGGCAGGAATGTCTGTGAGACTTCGATCTCCAATTAACTACAAAAAAAAACAGACATGGAGCTGTGGTTCAAGTGGTAGAGCACTAGCCTTGAACAAAAAAGTTCAAGCCTCAGGACTGGCAAAAAAAAAAAAAAAAGTAAAAAACAAAAAATAGTACCTGGCTGAGTTCAAGCCTACGTACTGGCACAAAATCTTAGCCCAGGTGGCTGAAGTAGAGCTGAGCCCACTGAGTATAGAACCCAGTTCTGGTAAGCAGTGATGACTGAATCAGCAATGACTTGGTGAATGATCCATGTCCAGCCAATGATGCAATCCTGGCATGTTTGTTGGACTGATTAGGAGAGATGCTCTTTGTGCTGAGCTTGCTATGCTCAGTGCAGGATGTAAGTAAGCCTGGCATTGCTGCTGGCCATCTTGTACCTGTCTGAGAATGAAGCCTGCTCAGAAGAAGGCACAGAAGATTTCTGGTAACTGAGTTCTTGCAGCCAGCTATGTTTGAAGCTCTACCCTCCCTAAACTTTTTTCCCTTTTTTTTTTTTGCCAGACCTGGACTCAAATTCAGTACCTTGATACTTTGCTTATTGGCTGGCATTCTACCAGCTGAGCTACAGTCCAATTCCTTTTCTTTCCATGAGCCAAAAAATTCCTATTTTATCTCAAACTAGTTTTAGTTGGATTTCTTCACTGTTAGTAAAAAATGTTAATTTATTGCATACTGTCAGGTACTGTTCTAATAGTTTATATACTGTGCTTATATAGATTCATTTAACCCTTACAGCTCTGTAAGCACTTTCATTCTCTTCATTTTATAGATGAGGGTTAATAAAGCTCAAAGAAGTTAAACTTGTAACTTGTCAAGATTACATGATTATAGTGTTACAGATTTGGGATATGAACCTAGGTTAATCTGGTTCATGAATACTACCTTGACCAATTAAAAATTGTTCAGTACTTGAACCAGACTTAAAATTGATACAACCTAGAAGGTATCTAAGCTCTTAATTGTAATTCCATTTTAATACATGCAAATGTTTCACCCTAAGTGAAGAAAAGGAATATATTAAAGTTAGAGAGGCTGAGATTAGTGATACTGTCTTGAATGGAACAAATCCTTACATCTTCTCCCCTTGCTTAAATTAATGTATAGTTACTATATCCTGATTGGACTCAGAATGATACAAAATAGCATGGAAAGGTCATCTCAAACTAAATGCCAGGAAAAAGAACACCATCCTTCAAATATGCATGGACTAAAAACATGTGCTTGAGATTGACTGTTTTGCCAGGATAGTGAAATTATTCAGCATCAAGAGCAGCTTGTTTTCTCATACAATTTGATTTTTGCAAAGATAATCAGAAGGGAAGGAATTCCATTGAGAAAAAGTGATTTCTGTAGCAAGTTCATTTTTTTCTCTTCCTTTTCCCACTTGAAATGTTGGAATCAATATCTTACAGATTATCCAGTCTACTCCCAACTACTGTTTTACAGATAACAGGCCCAGGAAGAAAAGTAACTGGCTGAATATTAATACCAAGCAAAAATTACAAACAAGAGCTGGGAAGGTGGCTCAGTGGTAGAGTGCTTGCCTTGCATGCATGAGGACCTGGGTTTGATTCCTCAGCACCACATAAGCAGAAAAAGCCAGAGGTGGCACTGTGGCTCAAGTGGTAGAGCGTTAGCCTTGAGCTGAAGAGCTGAGGGACAGCGCCCAGGCCCAGAGTTCAGGCCCCACGACCCGGGGGAAAAAAAAATTACAAACAAGATCTCTCTCTCAGTCTGGTGCACTTGCTTTACTTTGTATGGTTTCCCTACAAAAGAATGTGATGACAGGAAGAAAATGACAAAAATATATTTTCTTTAGGTGTCTTATTTTTTTTTTCTGGTCACGGGGCTTGGGCACTGTTCCTGAGCTCTTTTTGCCTAGGCTAGTGCTCTACCACTTTGACTGTGCCACTTCAGATTTTCTGGTGGTTAACTGGAGTAAGAGTTGCATAGACTTTTCCTCCCCAGACTGGTTTTGAACTGCGATCCTCAGATGTCAACCTCCTAAGTAGCTAGGATATTAACTACCGGTTTTTGAGTGGTTAGTTGAAGAGTCTCACAAGGATTTTTCTGCCTGGACTGGCTTCAACCGAGATCCTCAGATTTCAGTCCCCTGAATAGCTAGGATTATAGGCATGAGCCACCAGCACCTGGCTTTATTTCACATCTTGAAATAATAATCTTTCAACTTAAGGAATTTATTTTCTACCAAAGCATTTAAGCTTTGGCTGAGTTTATGCTTAACCTACAAATAAAATTCTATGTAAGAACTATTCCAAATATATGTCAAATAATGCATTTATTTAAAAAACTCAAAATCAATAATGAAGTTTGATGTTATTATGAATCATGTAATATCCAAAAAGTGAAATGAATTAAGTTGGATAAGTCATAAAAATACAAATCTTTTTGATATGTAACTTTAAATTAATAACTGCTAAGAACTTACTAAGTTTATTATTTTACTCATAGTCTTTCCCCTACCTCTACCATGTAACAGTAAAAGGCACTAGCTCTAGGGTTTTACATTTCTTACCAGGATTCAAAGTCTTTTGCACCACTTACTGTGACCTTGGCACGTACTGCATGATCTCATGGTTCATTCATTGCTAAATAAGGCCAATACCCATTTATCAATATTTTTTCTGTATATCAAATGAGGTATTTTGGAAATAGTTCCCGTTACACAGCCAAGGTTTGCTGTTCGCAAATCCTGTAAATGTTCTGAAGCGTTTTGCTTTGCTTTTTCGAGACCACAGAGGTTGAGGACAGTGTCAGAGGACTCAGTTTGCTGATTAAAATCTCCTACATTCAGACCAATGGTTATTATTTTAATCAATGCTTATATATTAAAGGCTCACACCACTCATTCAAAGCAAGAACTCACTCAAGTTCACTAGCAGCTTGACTTACAGGCAATTTAAAAGTATCTTTACATAGATTAATTTGATGAGGGGGGAGGGTGTGTGCTGAGTGGATGTTATCATCGGGGGCTGGTGTGGGCCCCCAGAAGGGTGGGTTTCCAAAGACCAAGCTGGTTCCTCTGCTTGGGGGGTTCGGAGGACCCCCAAGTTCTCCAGAGAGGGGCTCCTGGTATCAGGGCGAAGTCATGGGGGGGGCGGGGACCCGCAGCCCTGCAAGCAGGACCTCTCACAGCGCAACACGTCGGGGCAGCCCCGGGCCTCGGGCCTCGGGCCTCGGGCTCCGGGCCTCACCAGGGGCGACACGGGCTCCGGGGCACGCGCGCGCGCGGGGGCCGCGCCTCGGGGCCCCACCGCTCCGACCCGAGGCTGCCCTTTACCTCTCCGGCTGCCGTCCATGCTTAGTCCTCTCGCAGCCACCGTGTGGACACGCTGGGTCCCCTCGGGTCCTTCCCCCGGCCGGGCCCTGCCCCTCCGCCCCCCCCTCGCAAAGGAGGGGTGGAAAGGAGGAGTCGGCGGCTGCCGGGGACACGGCCGCCTGGCTGGTTGCTAAGGGCGGGTTCCAGGGCGTAGGATTGTGACGTCGCGACGCGCGCGTACGCTTCCGGGGCCACGCCCCTCGGGGAGGGGAGGTCAGAGCGGCGACGCTTGTGCAGGTGGACGGCGCGCGGGCAGATGCCCCGGTGCCCGCTGGGAAGATGGCCTGTTTCCCCCCCCCTGTGGCTCGGGGACGCTGCCAGTCCTCCGCCGAGCGAACTCCTGTCAGACTCCAGGCCACCAGCCCCTGAGCGGGCCTTGTCCCTGCGGACACGCCTTCCTCTGGCTAAAGCCCAGCAGGCCGGTGTAGCGCGAGGCCGGGCCCAGAACCCGCTCCGCCGGCCTTTGCATGGGGAGAAGCCGCCGCTGCGCCTCGCCTCGCCTCGGAGCCTCCCAGCAGCTTCCCGAGCTGCCCGGCGGCCTCCCGGCTCTGTAAAGGCCTCCGTCCACTTCCTGCTGCCAGGGAGAGCTCTTCGCGGGGCGAGCTCTTCGCGGCTCTCTGCCATGTCGAATTATGAATGCTTGGAGATAAGCTGGGACTCGGGCCGAGAACCTGCTGTCCTGTAGGACTTCTTCACCTTTTAGGCCGATGTGCAATTCTGGGGGGGGGGGCAGCCCACTCACCCCACCCCTTGTCATGACTTAAAGCCTCTGCACTTGCCAAGAGTTGCCTGGGGAGTGGGGTGGGGGGGATCACACCTGGATTGAGAATGAGTCTTGTAGTGAAGAGTATTGGTTTTGGAGACAGACGGGTAGGGCTTGCTTGTGTTTCCTGCTGCTTACCAGTCAGAGCTTTAAGTAGATTCTAAATCTCTCTGAACCTCTTTTCTCCAATATAAGGGATGCCACTGATTTTGTAGTTATACTGATAAGAGCAGTCAACGTAAGAAAGGAGGTGTCCTACAAGTATTCTCTTTTCTAAAACTTCTCGGAGGAGCTGAGCATCAAGGGGTTCCGGTATAAGGGAGTAAGTCAGAAACCCTCTATCAAGGAAAGAGGAATAAACCAGGTAGAGAAAAAAAAAAAAAGTAGATGTGATGGCCCTGTGGCTCCCAATACATTTTAGAGGATCCAGGGATAGAGAGATACTCAGAAAAATATTTCTCCCTATTCACCATTACTTGAAATTCCTTTCTAGGATATGAAGTCATTTTTTTATTCCATTATTAGCAACTAAAAAAAAAAGGCTTGCCTATAACAGACTTCCCATAAGCATTTGTTAAATTGGATTCGAGCTGAAGCCTAAAGGGTAAACGGGGGTGGAGAGGTGGGGGAAGGTGAAATAATAATTTGATTCAGGTGAAAGTGAAGCTAACTCCTCTTATAAAAATAGATTTGGGACTAAGATATTTGTTTTGAGGTAGGAAAAGGACTTCATGATTGGGGAAGTACAGGAGAACAGGAAGAGTTCTGAAGACAGCATTGTCTGCTGTTCAACTTCTGCAAAACCATCTTTATTTCATTATTTCCCTTCAAAGTAGTATTTTGTTCCACTTTCACTAATGTGCGTGAAGTAGGACTTATTTTTCTCAATCTTAGCAGCATATTGTGAGTGCAATTTAATTTTTTTTGGTTGTGAGACTTGAAATCAATGTCTGGAGACTATCCCTAAGCTTTTTATTTTCCCCTCAAGGCTAGGGCTCTACCACTTTGAGTCACAGTACAATTTCCAATTTTCTGGTGATTATTTGGAGATAAAAGTCTCCCAGACTTCCTGTCTGGGATGGCTTAGAACCTAGATCTTTAGATCTCAGACTCCTGAATAGTTAGGATTATAGGCATGAGCCACTGGAGGTAGCTTTTAATTTAATTTTTTTATTTTTTGCTTTTCTCTATGTATGGCTATTCTCAGGAGATCTTTTTTTTTTTTTTTTTGGTGGGGGCCCCTGGGCCTTGATTTCATGGCCTGGGTGCTGTCCCTGAGCTTTTTCATTCAAGACTACCACACTAATCTGAGGATCAAGGTTCAAAGCCAGCCTGGCCAGCCCAGCCAGGAAAGTTCATGAGACACTTATCTCCAATAAACCACTCAGAAAACCAAAAGTGGCGCTGTGGCTCAAGTGGTAGAGCACTAGCCTTGAGCTGAAGAGCTGAGGGATAGTACCCAGGCCCAGAGTTCAAGCCCCACAACCAACACCCCTCACCAAGACTACTGCTCTACCACTTTGAGCCACAGTACCACTCTTGGTTTTCTGGTGGTGAACTGGAAATCAGAGTCTCATGGATTTTCCTGCCTGAGCTGGCTTTCAACTGTGGTCCTAAGATCTCAGCCTCCTTAATAGCAAGGATTGCAGGCATGAGCCCAGCAAAAGCTATGATCTTAAGCCCATGCACCCAGTTTGGTGTGCCAAGTAAGTTCCCAAGAGTATTCTGACATTGAGGAACACCACGAGTTGCAATGGTGTTGAGAAGAAACATTCTGAAGACCTTTTCTTGATATATATAAATGTGTTCAGAAATCATTCCAATATATTTTTTGCTATTGATGTTTAGAAATTGATAAACCTTTTAGAAGAAACATACTGATCTAGCATGTGAAAGACTGGGTTTCTTTTTTTTGTCTTAGTTGAAAATGAGCTCAAAACTAAGATTTGTGTTTAGTTGTGATATACTTATCAACCACTACAGTATTTTTTTTTCTTTTCTTTTTTTGTTGGTTGTGGGCTTGAACTCTGGGCCTGGGCACTGTCCCTCAGCTCTGTAGCTTAATGCTAGTGCTCTACCGCTTGAACCACATCACCACTTCTGTTTTTCTGGTAGTTTATTGGAGAAAAGAGTCTCATGGACTTTTCCTGCCCAGGCTGGCTTTGAACCATGATCCTCAGATCTTAGCATCCAGAGTAGCTAGGATTACAGGTATAAACCACTAGCACCTGGCTTACTATTTCTTAATTTATCTTTTTCATTCCCTTTACTGGGAATGGAGCTTTTTTTTTTTTTTTTGCCAGTCCTGGGGTTTGAACTCGGAGCCAGGGCACTGTCCCTGTACCACTTGAACCTTAATGTCACTTCTATATTCTTTTAATGATTAAATTAGACCTCTCAGATATGCTCTAAGCCACTTGGAGTGGGAGTATAAATAAGATAATGTATATTGCACATGATATAACATGGTCTGCAGAACAAAATATTTTATATTTTAATATGCAGTATTATTAACATGCAGTATTTAATATATATAATTCATTTTATTATTTTTAAGCTCCATGTTGTTATTACTATTATTCATTTAATCTCTTGTGTTTACAGATGATTCTTGGTTTCATAATGCAGGCTATTCCTGGAATTCTTGTTTGTGTCTTTGGACATGCCTAGGACCATCATTGAAAAGACTCTAACAAATGCAGTAAAAGCAAGAAGAAGCAAAAGACAAAGATTGTGTTTTTCTTTTCATTGAATTGTTATAAATGTGTTTTAATCCTGAAATCCTCAAAAGAAAAAAAGTGAAGGAAATTAGTGGAATTTTCTGAAGATATCTGTATGAAGGCAGAATAGAATAGATAGAATTAAATTGTGTGTGCACATTCTGTTGATCTCAGACTCAAAACCCTTTAGATTTTGGTGACTAAAGAATGATTGAAAATTTTGAGCTTGTGACTATCTCTTAATCATCAAAAATACTATAGGGGTGATTTATTTAATAACACAAATTAGAAAATAGAGAATTAGTGCTTATCGGTATTGTATTTTGAAATAATGGCTTGCTTTGCTGCTTGTCACTAGAGGGGGCTTTAGGAAAGGTTTGAACTCCACCTCTATGAGACAATGCAAATCTTATTCAAGGATATAAGGTGCAATAGACATTTAAAAAATTACTCCAAAATAGAGCTCCTCCAATTATATTTAATGACATACATTCCAAGTTCTTTTTCAAGCACAGGAAAAAATTGCTTCATTGTCTAAAGGTCCTTAATAGATAAAAACAATGTTTATCATTGTCAACCTATAATTTGATTTTTCTTAATTTTATTGTTAAAGGCAAGAGAGAATACGAATGACTATAATTCTCTGTAAAGCAATATGTGCCTAATGGGAGAACAGGTAGACCAAAGAGAGAGATAATAGGTTATACTGACCCCAAATGATTATTCTGAGTTCTCAGAGGAAACAGAATTCTGATTTCTGAACACAAATAGAATCTTGTCCATAGCCATTCTCAGAAGTATACAGCCACATAGAGTTTTCATTTCATTCTAATTTGCTTAATTCTACACTGGAAAGGAGCACAAAATTGTGCTCTTATAGTTTAATTTGGCTTTTTTTTTTTTGTTACCAATAGAAGACTCACTCATATTGGGACTCTTTAGCTAAAGTGCTTGAGAGCACAGATATTAGAACTAGTGATAATTACCACAGTTGTCCATCTCTGTTTCTTACCAGCTATGTTGCTTAAATCTTTTCATCCAATTAAAAGAACAAGTCTCTCGGAACAGCACTTAATTATTCAGTGGTTACTAGGTAACCTGTCCCCACAGCTCATTCTATTCGTCCACTGCTAATCAATTGCCACAGTACAGTAGGGAGCATGCTCAGCCTGAAAGTTTAATAATCTCCACTAAATGCACTGTTTACCAATGGTTTCACCATTCTAAACAAAGCAAAACAACCCCCCCCCCACACAAAGTTGTTTGTTTATCCTGATCTATCTTTCCTTTATTTTCTCCCTTTCTTTCCTTCTTTCTTTCCTTTCTTTCTTCCTTCTTTCCCTCTCTCCCTCCCTCCCTCCTCTCCCTCCCTTCCTTCCTTCCCTTCCCTTCCTTTTCCTTCCCTTCCCTTCCTCTTCTCTTCTCTTTTCTTCTCTTCTCTCCTCTCCTCTCCTCTATTCTCTTCTCTTCTTTTTTTTTTTTTGCCAGTTCTGGAGCTTGAAATTCAGGCCTAGGTACTGTCCCTGAGCCTCTCTGTGCTCGAGGCTAGCACTCTACCACTAGTCATAGCACCACTTCAAGCCTTTTCTGTTTATGTGGCACTGAGGAATTGAACCCAGGGC